TATCCAAAACACCGGTGGTATAGCCCTCAGAATCACAGCAACTCAATCCACCACAGCACGACAGACAGACGAGTGGTGGCCGTTTGGTTTTTACCAAAGCTCCTTACCCTACTCTTAATCCTCTTGGTGGCTTATCACACCAAATCACAGCGTGGGGGCTAACAATGACTCAACTGCCAAAGCACAGAGAACCCTGCCCAGTCACGTTGCCACAAAACCTTAACTATTACGCTTGGTTTCCATTTGCAGCATCACAGGCATCCTTCTGTCTGTCTCTCTGTTTCTGTGTGTTGTCTTTTATAAGAACAACTCATATTGGCTTAGGACCTCCTCCTGGCTTCAGTAGGCTTCCATGTTAATGGACAACATCTTCAAAGACCCTATTCCCAAATAGGGTTACATTCACAGAAACGCTGATTGTTGTTGTTAAGTGCCTTTGAGTCGGTTCTGACTCATAGCGACCCTGTCTAGGGTTTCCAAGGAGCAACTGGTGGCCTTGCAGTTAGCAGTCCAGTGCTTAACATAACAGGGCCACTCCAGGACACAGATTAAGACTTCGAAATAGTTTATTTTGAGTGATGCAATTCAGTCCATAATACCTATGTTACAAGTTATTTTTCCATTGGGACCAGAATACATTTGAGGAGGCTCGCTAATGTTTATGGTAAATTCCACTGTCTTCATTTTTAACAAAATTTTTTGACGATTTGGGTATATGTATATGCAGTTCTCATGCCTTACACTCTTAAAAATTATTTTAAAAACACACACACACACACACACACAAAAACAAACTCCCATGTCATCAAGTCAATTCTGACTCACAGCATCTTTGTGGGACCGAACAGAATTGCCCCATAGGACTTCTCAGGCTGTAATACATGATGGAAGAAGAGTGCCCCATCTGTCTCCAGCTGAGAAGCTGCTGGATTCGAACTGCCAACCTTTCAGTTGGCAAGCAAGCACTTTAAGCACTGTGCCACCAGGGCTCCTTCAACACCCCAAAGGACTATAGCTATCTATGTGGATTATGCCTAGCAATAGTTACATTAGAAATTAAAACTTATCATTTAAAATATAATTATTGAAAAATTTTCATGGAAAATAGCAATAATTAACCAGTTGTAAGTTAATATATAAAGCTGTTTTTATTGATTAAAAGAACTAATCCCTGTAACTGTTTTCTGCCTTTGCCTGTCTCAAGATCACATTCCGCATTCTTCAGACAGTCTCTGGAAACCTCCACTGTACAGCTATATGGGAATGAGAGTGGAAAATGTCTCAATGTTAGTATGAAAATAATTTTTGACTGTGGACACCATGAAAGGGTTTCAGGTCCTAGGGGTCCCTGGATGACACAAACAGTTTGCTCCCGGATACTAACTTGAAAGGTTGGTGATTCCAATCCACCCATCAGGAAGTCGGAAGAAATGCCTGGCAATCTACTTTCATAAAGATTATAACCAAGAAACCCCCATGGAGCAGTCCTACTCTGTAATACATGGAGTCTCCATGACTTGCAACCCACTCAGTGGCAAAGGGTTTGGTTGCTTGGTTTTGAGGAGGTGGCACAAGTGATTAAGAACTCAGTTTATAACTTTGGCAGTTCTAGTCCATTCAGAGGTGCCCGTTAACCATAAGGACGGCCCAGGAACTTCGGGCCTCTCCCTAGGACAAGAATTCTTCCCACATCATCTCCAAAAACGCAGGCAACAGGCTCTCATTAGCAGTCACTACTATCCAAGCAATGTCTAATCCCCCACAGATGCTTAACCTGCCCCTCCCGCCAAAATGAACCGGAACTACATTTCACGCTCTTCTCAGTCGAGAGACTACATCTCCCGTAAGCCTCTGCTTCCCCAAGGCTCTATGCCCTTCAGTCAGAAGAGCCGATAATTGCATCTTTCCTAATCTTCCCCCATTAAATTCTGTTCCACCTGCATAATGGTCAGTCCGCCCCTGAGGCAAGATTCTCTCCTTTCAGAATTCCCCCACGAGCAGCTTGCCTCAGTTTCTCTAAAGAAACCCCTCAGGAGGCATCCGCGCCTCCCCTCGTTCCCGCGCCCCCGATTGTGCAATGCGGGGCTTGGGAACCGCCTGCACTCTGCGTGCCGGTGCCACGGCTGCGCGTTGGGTGCAAAGCCTGGGGCCCCCGCTGGAGGGCGAGAGTGAGACGTCCTGGGGTTGGGGACGTCTGGACCGCCCACGTGGTGCGTTGCTGAGGCTGCGTCCCGGGTGCGTAGCTCCGACCCAGCCTCACTCAGCGCAGGACGCATCGCAGGTGCCCACGGACCATGGCGACGTCCGCACCGAGGGTGGGACTTCATGCTTCTGGGTGTGTCTGCAGTTTGGGGTGCTGTGGGGTGGGGTGGGGCCCCGAGACGGCGGCGGTTTGCCACGGGATGTGTGTGTCCTTGTCTGTTGTGTCTGCGTCTGTGACAGACGGGTTCCAGGCCCAGTGCTGCCACTTCCGGCTGCGTGTCCTAGGGCAGGACCCTCAATTTCCTCATCTGTGCAATGGGCTGTGAGGATAAAAAATAATACGTATGTGTAAAGTGCTGAGAACAATACCTGGCCCATAGCAACTGCTCATCAGAATAAATAAATTCATCAAAAATATGATTATGTATCTTTTGTATGAGATGGATGCCTATGGCTGTGTCGTGTGTTAAGTGTAAACTCCTAGGAAATATGGGTATTTGTGAAGTATGTGTCTGTGTGTATCTTTGTATGTGTAGTACATTTGAGTTTTTGTGTGTACTACATGTGTCTGTGTGTACTCCTGAATGTTCAGTGTGACTGTGGTTGGGCAATGTGTCTTTGTAACCATGTCTGAAATGTGTGTTACATTTGTAGGTGTGTGTGTGTGTGTGTGTGTGTGTGTGTGTGTGTTTCAAGGCATGTTTAGGTATGGAGTGTGTGAATCTTTGTGTTATTTATGTATTTGGTCTGTGTGCCTTTGTATATTTGTAGATGATGCATGTCTACATGTGACACCTTTATGTGTACTTTTGTATGTGATTGTTTGTGTAGCTTCACCCATGTATATGGTTCTGTGTATGTTATATGTGGTTCTGTATCCACATAGTTGTTTGTGTCCATATGTATCTGTGGATGTAATGTGTGCCTGTGTGTTAGTGTGTGAGTGATCTCTATTCCGTGACCCTATGGACTCCTGGTGTGGTGCTTTAGGATCAGAACTGGACTGCTAACCACAAAGTTGGTGGTTCAAACCCACCAGCAGCTCCTCGGAAACCCTATAAAGGGTAGCAATGAGTAGGAACCAACTTGAAAGCACTTAACAACATGTCTATGTACATGTATGTATTGGGTGTATTTTTGTGTATGTGATGTGTCTGTTAGTATGATGTGTGTATGTGTCTCTGTACAAGTGAAGCTGAGTGGCTATGATGTGTCTGTGTATGCACATATATTTGTGTTCGTGTGTGAGATGGTGTGTCTGTGCTCACGTGTGATGTGTGTTCATGTATGTGATATGTTTCTCTGAGGGTGTGTGATGTGTGTCTACATGTTTCAGTACAAGTGACGCTCTGTATATGTGTGATGTGTATGTGTGTGTGATGTTTTATCTATGGCTGTTCTTTGTTGCATGTTTGGGATGTCTGTGTGTCCATGTCTGTATGGATCTGAGCCATGTGTCTGTGGACATGGCTCTTTACCTTTGTCTGTGGCATGTGTGAGGCTTGGTGAGACTTGGAGTTCTTGCGTGGCGGAATGCATCTGTGCCGCGGGCTGGCTTGCCTGTACATTCCCAGTGCGGCCGTCTCTGCGTCTTTGTGTGTGACGTGTACGTGTCCCCGTCTGCCTATGGCTGTCCACCTTTGTATGTGATGTGCCTGTCTATGAGGGTCCCTGCGACGTGTGTCAGCTGTGTGTGGGTTGAATGTGCTGGCGTGACAGCTGCATCTTAACGTGTGACACATGTGTTCAGTCGGTGGCATGTCACTGTGATGTCCGGGCCAGGCACTGTGGGCCCCGCGCCCCACTCCCAGGGGTCTGCCGGTCCCTGTCTGTCTCTCCCCCTCCCCTCTTCCCCTTCCTCCTGGCAGCCAATGCTACCCGGGAGCCAGTTTCCATGACAACGCTCCATCCTCCCTCCTCCCACCCTCCTTGTGACAGGCTCTCTGTTCCCCCAATCCTGGCTGCCCTCGGGGGCGGGGCTCTTAGTCTCTCCCCCCCATCTTACCCTCTCCCCCCCACCCCAGCAACCCCGGCTCCCCAGCTCCTCTCCTCTGTCCGCCTCTCCGTCCCTTCATCTGTCTGTCTCTTCAGAGAGGGGGAGGGGGGTACCTGAGCCAGTAAGCAACCCCTCCCTCCCCCTGTCCTGCGTCTCCTGCCCCTCTCCTGGGCCGGGGGGAGGCCAGGGTCGCGCGGGTCCCCATGGCTGGGGGCTGAGGGCCCGCCCCCCCCTCCTCCCCAGCCGCCACCTCCTCCACCTCCCTTCCATCCTCGCCAAGATGCCTGCCCCCAGCGCCTTCATCCTCCTCGCGGCCGTCTCTGCCTCCGGCTGCCTGGCATCCCCGGCCCACCCCGGTGAGTCTGTCGGGCCATCGGCCAATCCGGCGGCCCCCGCCCCCATCGCGGCCTGCCCAAGGGTCTGTGTGCGGGGCTTGGTCCCCTTCACCTGTTTGTGCGTCTTTCCCATAGCCGCGCGGGGCCTGAGGAGCTGCGAGGACGGGCCGCTGTCAGCAGGGCCTGTGGGAGGCTGGGGGGCGGCGGGGAGGGGGTGCGCTTAAGCAACGTGTGTGCACACGCGTGTGCAGGTGTGTACAGGAGTCGGGGACGCGCAGGGCCTCTGGGAAGACTGAGGGCAGAGGGCAGAGCACTACTTCTAAGGGGGACACAGCACAGGGAGCTGGTTCAGGTTTGGAGGAGACCCAGAGCTTGCGGAATTCCCTTCTCAGAGGCTTGTGCTGGAGATATAGGACATGCGTGTGGTCCAAGACTCCCCAAAATTGACAAGTCTCCACCTCTTCAGCTGGAGTGGAGGGTCCCATCAAAGGGCAAGGACCTCCTAGTCTCCAGTTGGGGGCTCATCGTGTTTCCCAAATAGGGAGTAATGAGGCTGCCTAGTGGAAGAATATTTTAAATCCTGGTAGCTCCAGGCTCCTTCCCTTAATGCTCACTGGAATATATCTAAACCTAAATTGAGGGATTGGGGTAGGGGTCGTACAAGCTTGGGCAGAGAGGGAGTGACCCCCCGCCAGACCCCCACCCAAGCACCTGGGAAGACTCCAAACTACAACTTCCACGATTCCCCGGGCCATCCGGCTCCTCTGCCAAGAGGCCTCTGGTGGCAGAGCATTATGGGCGTTGTAGTCCAAGACTTGCCAGGTGGGCGGGGCATGGAGTACCGGAGGCAGGGACTTGAAGCCTGGACTCCAGCCCAGCCCTTTACCCACAGATGGATTTGCCCTGGGCCGCGCCCCTTTGGCTCCCCCATACGCTGTGGTCCTCATTTCCTGCTCTGGCCTGCTGGCCTTCATCTTCCTCCTCCTCACCTGTCTGTGCTGCAAACGGGGCGATGTCGGTTTCAAGGTGAGGTGCATGGTGGAGTTGGATTCAAGGTGGGGAGGAAGACCCTATCAAGTTCCTTTCCCCTCCACCCAGGTGGCAGGTATGGGGAAGGGCTAGGGAACCCGATAGTTAGAGGACCTGAAGTTAGTGCGACATCGCAAACCCTGGGTGGCAATTGGGCGGGGATTGGGGAACAGCTATGAGGACGGTGGGGACTCCAGAAGGATGATGGCGAGTCTCTCAGCTCCATCCTTCACCCGTCCGGCCCCAGGAATTTGAGAACCCAGAAGGGGAGGACTGCTCTGGGGAATACACTCCGCCAGCGGAGGAGACGTCCTCTTCACAGTCTCTACCTGATGTCTACATTCTCCCACTGGCTGAGGTGTCCTTGCCTATGCCTGCCCCACAGCCTTCACATTCAGGTACTGCCCCAGCCCGGACCAGAGATTCCCCGGTCCGCGGGTACAGAGGGGTGGGACCTCAGAAACTTCCCGCAGTGGCCAAGGGCAGCCAGTAGGAAGACCGCGATCACCTTGGGGGGGGGGGGGCACAAAACAGTTGCCATGGAGAGAGTCTGCCTCCTGGCTGCCGCCATGTGCTCCAGAGGGTTTGCAATGACTGATTTGGGGGAAAGCAGATCGCCAGGCTTTTCTTCTAAGGCACCTTTGGCTGGATCCAAACTTCCAACCTTTCATTAGCAGTCGAGCACTATTTGCACCACCCAAGGACTATTTGGGGGTGGGGAGGGAGGCATTGCTCAATGCAAAACCAGAGGGACCGTTAGGGGAGGGACAACCAATAGTGAGGTCAACCTACATCTCGGTCTCAACGCAGCCAATGGGAGGCTGAAACCACGTCACAGGATTTTAGAAAGAACAGATTGGATGCTAGGATCTTGTGGGCAGCCAATGAAGGAGGCAGAAATCAGGCAACAGGATATAGGGAGACAGCCAATGGGTAAGCTGAGATCCCATTATGGAATGTTGGGGGAAGCCAATGAAAAGATACTGCCCTGGAAGTATGGTGTTGGTGAGCACTTGTGAGGGGAGAGAGGCTCAGGGGCCTCCCTTTCTCACCCCCAGACATGACCACTCCACTGGGCCTTAGCCGCCAGCATCTCAGCTACTTACAGGAGATTGGGAACGGTTGGTTTGGGAAGGTGAGTGGGGCTGAAGTTGGGGTGCAGGACTCCCTACTATCTGGGACTGTGCTCCTCTGCTGTGTCCATTCCCCCATGCAGTCTGTCACCACGTCTCATCTGCCCCTCCCCACTGCGTCCCTCCACCTACCCATCCCGAGCGCCTTTGCTCACCTCTCATCTGCTCCTGCCTGCCCCTCCGCCCACATCTGTCCGTCAGCACCTCATTCCTCACTCCATCGACCACTCCGCCACGCCACCCGGCTCTCCACGCATCCGTCTGTCCATCCTTCCATCCGTCCCTGCGTCCATCGGACTCTGGGCCCGTGAGTCTCTCCCCCTACTTCCCTATGGAGGGACGAAGGTGGTGGGATAGAGAGTGGGAAGTGGGAAAGGAGGGGCAAATTGGGACGTGTACGGTGGACTAGAATTGGTCTCTGGGGAATGGGGCTGAGGAAAGGGCGTGGAGGTGACTCCTGGGTCCCCCTCGACCAGGTTATCCTGGGGGAGATTTTCTCCGATTACACCCCAGCTCAAGTGGTGGTGAAGGAACTCCGAGCCAGCGCGGGGCCATTGGAGCAGCGCAAGTTCATCTCCGAGGCCCAGCCATACAGGTAGTACAGGACTTTTGACCAAGTGTGGACACTTGAAGCCCAAACGTTTGAGCGTGCGCCCCCTAGCGGTGGCATTTGGGAGTGGAACGCGCAGAGTGTGGGGTTCAATCTGGGTTCGACTTCTGGCGTCTCTTTCTGATTCAGCCACTAGAGGGAGACAGGATTGCTCTCTCAAAGCCTTAGGTTCTTCATCTAGTCAAAGCCAGGGGTCTCAAGTGAGAGGCAGCCTTCACCTCCACTGTGAACCTCAGTAGCTGGACAGTGAGCCCGGGGAGTGGGTGTCCGCTTATAGAGGTAGCTGAGAAAATTAACTAAACCAATAAAAGACAGCAGGTGCTGGCGCATCGGTTTCAGCTCATGGCGCCATCACATGTGTCAGGGGGTTTTCAGTGGCTTTTTCAGAACATCATTAAGCTTTTCTTCCAAGGTAGACTCAAACCACCAACTTCCGGTTAGCAGCTGAGCATGTTTAGCAATTATTCTGGGTTAAGTACTGAGTACATGTTGGCGGTTCCTGCCCTTGGGACGCTGCTTGTAGACGAGGGCAGGCAGAAATAGAATGGTGATTCTATTAGCTCGGAGCTAACACCCAAGATGACCACTGAGGAACTTTGTCCTCCCCTCCGGCTAGCCTGGGAGGTCAGGACCCTGTTCCTTCGCTTGTCCATCTCCCCTGTACTTTAAGGGCTACTGGAACTCACCCGAAACACACTGCCTTTGAGTCAAATCCGACTTCTAGCAACCTAATGGGACAAGGTCAGACTGTTCCCTACAGTTTCTACAGCTGTGGATCTTTACAGGAGCAAACCACCTCCTCTTTTTCCCTTGGCGTGGCCCATGAGTGTGCCCGGTTAGCAGTACCCTGGATCATCAGGGCTCTTTAAGGACCCCCAAAGGATGTGACATGCATTTTGACTTGTGAGGTCATGAGCACCCTGTCATGAAAGGAGCAAGTTATCAGAAGAGCTGTGACTTTGAGGGTCACAAGACCCACAAATGATGTTACAAATTTTGGCAAAAAAAAAAAAAAGGTTCTCCACCCTTAGCCTCGAATATTGCTCCCTGCTCATTGACCCCCTGCTTTAAAATTGAGGCTCCTTCCCCTCTTTTAAGGAGCCCTAGTGCCTCTGTAGGATAAGGACTGCTAACTGAAAGGTGGACAGTTCAAACCCACCAGTCACTGCACAGGAGAAAGATGAGGCTTTCTGTTCCCATAAAAATTTACAGCCTCAGAAACCCTGAGCAAGGTTGCTATGCATTGGAATCAATTTGATGATGGGCTTGGTTTTGGGTTTTCCTTCCTTCAGGCCTCAGCTCAGAGAACCTTCCCCAACCCCCAGTCTGAGAGGTCTCTGAACTACCCCATCATGCCATCTCATGTGATTTCCAGCACCTGTCTCAATCCATCATTCTTTCACTTCTTAACCTGTCTCACCCTAGACCTGGGATGGGAGCCACTCACCATATGTGCCAATTGAGACAGAGGTGAAAGAAAATGAGATAAAATGCAAGATTCCCTTCCTCTAGCACACACCCCACATCTCATGTGTCCCTAGGCCACTTGTGTAGGACATGGTGAATTGAAGGCATGTCCACCTGCATAGAAAGTTTCGTTGCACAGATCAGTCCCAGGCTAGCAGCTCAGGGTCTTGTTGTGCAAGGGCCAATGGCTCTGTGAAATCGTTTGCTGAATAAACTGCAGACCTGAATCCAATCCCAGCTCTGTTGTGTAACCTTGGACAAATCACTGTAGCTCTCTGAGCCTCCTGGATTAAACAAGGGGCATCCTCCTCCTAACAGGGCCCTGGGGAGGATTTGATAGTGGAAGTGGCTGACTTCAGCTGTGACAAGTCGGTGTTTAGTAAATACAAGCTTCCTTCTCATCTGTCTCCCTGTCCACCCACCCCCACTGGGCCATGTTGGAAGCCCTGGGCATTTTTATTTATTTATGGCCCCAATGTGTGCCAGATGGCTCTTGACCAAGTAGGCACAGCAGGTACTATTCTCCCCCTTTTAAGAAGGTTACAAGAAGCCCTAGTGGAGAAGTTGTTAAGCTCTAGGCTGCTAACCAAAAGGTCAGTGGTTCAAACCCACTAGCCACTCTGCGGGAGAACAGTCCTAGTGATCCGCTTCCATCAAGATTCACAGCCTTGGGCCCCCTAGGGTGCACTTCACTGTGTTCTATAGGGTGGTTATGAGGCCAGTTGACTGGACGGCAGCAGGTTTGGTTTATTGACAGGCAAAGCACAAAGTCGGCGGAAGAGTTGGGATTGGAACTCTGGTAGAGGCCAGTTGGACAAGGTAGAGTTCCACTTCCTAGGCACCTGGGCCAAGCCTAAGCTGCAAGGATGGGATGTTTTCATTATCCCCGTAAACCCTAGACGTTAGTATTAAGCCCGTTAAAAAACACAAAAAGGGAATTGCTCTTGTGGTTCCTGGCACCCCCTGCATGCCAGGGCAGAACTGTGTTCCACACGGTTTTCTTCTTGGCTGGAATCTTCACAGGAGCCCTGCTGGTGCAGAGGTTGAGCCCTTGACCGCTCATTGAAAGGTTAGGCGTCAGAACCCATTCCAAGGCTCCGTAAGAGAAAGACGTGGCAATCTGCTTCAGGAAAGATGACAGTCTAGAAAACCCTATGGGGCAGTTCCTGTCGGTCACGTGGGTGCGCTGAGAGTCAGAATCCATTGGACGGTGAAAGACAGCAGCGATCTATCTTTATGGAAGTAGATCTACAGGCCTTTCTTTCATGGCTCCTCTGGGTGGGCTTGAACTGCCAGCCTTTAGGTTAGGAGTTGAGTATGCAAAACGTTCGTGCCACCCAGGGACCTCCTTGAACTCTTCCCAGTCCAGGCACTGGGGACTCGGATGTGAACGAAGGGCCCTCAATCCTTGACACAAACAATAAGTAAGTGAAGAGATGGGAAAAAAGTATCAGAGAATGATTAGAAATGTGATGAAAATTACAATATTTGGTGAAAGAGATAGTGGGAAGGGGTCGCTTCAGACAGGGTCCCAGGGAAGGAAACAGTCGTGCCAAGCATCTTGGGAACCGTGCTGAAGGCGAGGGAAACAGAAGATAGGTGCAAAGGAAGAAGGCCTCTGAGAGTGAGCCTGTCTAGAATCCAGTGAAAATGCAAGGCCAGAAGGAAATAAAGTCCAAGGAAAAAAACTGTTTCCATTCAAACTACAAGGACTATATCCCATGGGGTCTCTCCCTTCATGGTCTCATGCAATTTCTGATCACATCAAATTCCTCTCCATAACCACAGAAGGCAATTACTATTACTGCTCCCTGTTACAGATGAGGAAAACTGAGGCAGGGAGCAGTGAAATGCCTTCTCTGAGTTCACCAACCTGGGAAAGGTAGAGGCAGGATTCAAACTTCCCCCGCCCCTGCCCCTGCTCCCTACCCCTGAGCCTGACTTACCCACAGTGTGAGCATAAAGGAAACCCATCTCAGTACTGGGGGGGCAGTGAGAGGTTTTTGGAGAGAGGAAGCTGAGGTCTGAGGGTCAGGGAGCACTTTGACGAAGAGAAAGTGTTTTCCAGGAGAGAACAGGAATTGCAAGGACTGGGCACCTAAGTGGGTACCTGTTGTGTGGGGATTGAGCCAGGATTGAACCAGGGCTATGGGGACCGAGGAGAGGAGAGGGGTGAGGAAAGGTGAGGAGAGAGAGATACCTGGGGGTCCTGAGGAGTGAGTGGGGTTTGGTGGAGTGGATGCTGGGGTGGTGTAGCAGCAGTTTGGTTTTGTTGAGGGTCAGGTGGGACCCTGGGGTGGGCTGAATGGGATGCAAAGGGGCTGCTTCTCTGACATAGCCCCTTGCCCTCACCCCAGAAGCCTGCAGCACCCCAACATCCTCCAGTGCCTGGGCCTGTGTGTGGAGACGCTTCCCTTTTTGCTGATCATGGAGTTCTGTCAGCTGGTGAGGGGCGTGGGGGAGGTTGGATGGGGTGGGGATGAGGGGAGCTGGATGAAGCAGGTGCTGGCTGGGGGCACGTAGAAGTCTTAGGGGTGCTTGTCAGTAACTTCCTCCTCACTATTCTCATGGTGACAGCTGTATGCCATCCATTAACTTTTATTGAGCATTTACGTACTGTGTACATACAAGGATTCAAATCGTTGGTGGAAAAATTCCACGAAGTCTTCATTCCAATTTTCCATGAACGTTTTGAAGCCCCTCTCATACATATCACTGGAGTCCTGGTGTGGTGCTGTTTGATAAGCACTGGACTGCAGTTCAAACCTATCGGCGCACCTTGGAAACCCTATGTGGGGTGGCTGAGTTGGAACTGGGTATAAATGAAGATGGCTGTGCCTGACACGACCCGAACTCCGGGATGTAGGTTCTCTAACCAGCGGGTGCACCAGATTTAGCAGGGCTGCCTGCAGAGCGCAGAGATTATCCACCTAGCTTCAGATTGGTTGGAGGTGTGCGTGCCAGGGAGGGGTTCATGTACTGACCTTCCCTGTCTGCCCACCGCCCTAGGGAGACCTGAAGCGATACCTGCGGGCCCAGCGGCCCCCTGAAGGCCTGTCTCCTGAGCTGCCACCTAGAGATCTGCGGACGCTGCAGAGGATGGGCCTAGAGATCGCCCGTGGGCTAGCGCACCTGCACTCCCACAATTACGTGCACAGGTAGGTGGGTGGGCGGTATAAAGGCAGGAGGGCAGGATTGCTGAGGGGATGGAAAAGCCCAAAGTAGGGAGGGCAGCCTGTAGGAGGGGCCAGTAAATGGGGGGGGTGGTGGAGATAAAGGAACGCTGATGTTGTCAGAAAGCAGAAGTGCAAGAAAAGGCATCTGGGACGGATGTGGGGGGGTCGAGGGAGGAGTCAGAAGCAGTCAAGAAGGGGGCGAGGAGTCAGGAGACAGAGGGGAGTCCGCAGAGGAGAAGGGTTCGGGAGGACTAGAGGGGCCAGGAAGGGGAAGACTCAGAAGAGGGAAGGAGCTAAGGGAGAAGTCAAGAAGGGTGAAGTCTGGGGAGGATGGAGAGGGCGGAGAGGAGGGGAAAGGGGAGGAGTCAGAAGCAGAGGATGAGCTTCAGGAGGCGGAGTCAAAGGCAGAAGGGTAGGTGAGGAAGGGGAAAGAGTCTGAAAAGGAAGAGATGGAACAGGCGGAAAAAGGGAAGGAATCAGGTAGTCAGGGGAGGAGCTGGAGGAGGAGCAACCAACCACTGCAGTCCAGTGGATTCTGACTCTTAGTGAACCCTGTAGGACAGAGCAGAAAAGCCACAAGGTTTCCAAGACTAAATCTTCAGGGGAGCACACTGAGTCACTCATCTTTCTCCCATGAAGCGGCGGGTGGGTTTGAACCGCTGACCTTGAGGTTAACAGCTCAGTTCTTAACCCACTGCACTACCAGAGCTCCTTGAAGAAGGTGAAGCCAGGGGGAAGTCTTCAAAGGGAAGGGGAGGACTCTCAAGAAAATGGGTTGGCCCAGGCTGCCCCCCTTTCCTGCTCACACCCCCACCCGGTCTGCCCCTAGTGATCTGGCCCTTCGCAACTGTCTGCTGACTTCTGACCTCACCGTACGCATTGGAGACTATGGTCTTGCCCACAACAACTACAAGGTGGGGGCCGTCCGTGGTTGGGACAGGGGGCTGCGGGCCCCCCACCCCACCCCCGCACAGCTGTCTGACCGTGCCCCACCCCCCAGGAGGACTACTACCTGACCCCGGAGCGCCTGTGGATCCCACTGCGCTGGGCAGCGCCCGAGCTACTAGGGGAACTGCAGGGGACCTTCATGGTCGTGGATCAGAGCCGCGAGAGTAACATCTGGTGAGGGGACCCCAGCCGCTGGGGTCGGGGTGGGGGAGTGTCCAGGAGGGCCCGGGCGGGGCTCTGAGCCCTCTCTTCAATGCAGGTCCCTGGGGGTGACCCTGTGGGAGCTCTTTGAGTTCGGGGCGCAGCCTTATCGCCACCTGTCGGATGAGGAGGTCCTCGCCTTCGTGGTCCGCCAGCAGCACGTCAAGCTGGCCCGCCCGCGGCTCAAGCTGCCCTATGCCGACTACTGGTGAGAGGGGCTCTGGCTTAGGACCCCGGCCTGCCTTCCTCATCCTCACCCCACCTCGAGTCTCACTCACCACTTACTACAACCCCCAGAGTGACAAAGAGACATCCTCACTCTCCTATTGCAGTTGGGGACTCAGGGGACACTAGGGCATGAAGGGCCGAGCTGGGATTTATTTGACTCCTAGTTTCGCTGACCCTAAAAGGTTATTTCTGCACCTGTTGGTCAGAATTCCAATTCCCAAACCACCTTACCCATCGTTACCCCACACCCACCTCTCCACACCCCCCCTCTCTGGGTCTCTTTCCGGGTTTCTGCCACCTTCTTGCTCTGGGTCCCTGCCACACTTACACCCCGCCCTCCCCCAGGTACGACATCCTGCAATCTTGCTGGCGGCCGCCTGCCCAGCGACCCTCAGCTTCTGACCTCCAATTGCAGCTCACCTACCTGCTCTCCGAGCGGCCTCCAAGGCCACCCCCACCCCCACCCCCACCTAGAGATGGCCCCTTCCCCTGGCCCTGGCCCCCATCGCACACTGCACCCCGCCCAGGGACCCTGTCCTCTCCCTTCCCCCTTCTGGATGGTTTCCCTGGGGCTGACCCAGACGATGTGCTCACGGTCACCGAAAGCAGCCGAGGCCTCAACCTCGAGTGCCTATGGGAAAAGGCTCGGCGCGGGGCAGGGCGGGGTGGAGGGGCACCCCCCTGGCAGCCAGCATCTGCACCTCCAGCACCCCATGCCAATCCCTCAAATCCCTTCTATGAGGCCCTGTCCACCCCCAGCGTACTTCCGGTCATTAGTGCACGAAGCCCTTCTGTGGGCAGCGAGTATTATATCCGCCTGGAGGAGCACGGCTCCCCACCTGAGCCCCTCTTCCCTAATGACTGGGACCCCCTGGACCCGGGAGTGCCTGCCCCCCAGCCCCCCCAGGTCCGCTCGGAGGTCCCCCAGCTGGTGTCCGAGACCTGGGCCTCGCCCCTCTTCCCGGCACCCCGGTCCTTCCCGGCCCAGGCCTCGGCCACAGGTGGTTTTCTCCTGAGCGGCTGGGACCCCGAGGGCCGGGGCGCCGGGGAGACCCTTGCCGGGGACCCTGCCGAGGTACTGGGGGAGCGGGGCACCGCCCCATGGGCCGAGGAGGAAGAAGAGGAGGGCAGCTCCCCGGGGGAGGGCAGCAGCAGCCTTGGGGGTGGACCCAGCCGCCGTGGTCCCCTCCCCTGCCCCTTGTGCAGCCGCGAGGGGGCTTGCTCCTGTCTGCCACTGGAGCGGGGAGATGCTGTAGCTGGCTGGGGGGGCCACCCTGCCCTGGGCTGTCCCCACCCCCCAGAGGACGACTCATCTTTGCGAGCAGAAAGGGGTTCCCTAGCAGACTTGCCTATGGCCCCCCCTGCTTTGGCCCCCCCCGAATTTCTGGACCCCCTCATGGGGGCAGCCGCCCCCCAGTCCCCCGGGCGGGGGCCCCCCCCCGCCCCCCCCCCCCCGCCGCCACCTCCCCGGGCCCCCGTGGACCCGGCCGCGTCCCCCGACCCCTCGTCGGCCGTGGCCAGTCCAGGCTCGGGCCTGTCCTCACCGGGCCCCAAGCCAGCGGACAGCGGCTACGAGACGGAGACCCCTTTTTCCCCCGAGGGAGCTTTCCCAGGCGGGGGGGCAGCCGAGGAGGAAGGGGTCCCTCGGCCGCGGGCTCCCCCCGAACCCCCCGACCCGGGAGCGCCCCGGCCACCCCCAGACCCCGGTCCCCTCGCACTACTGGGGACCCGGGAGAAACCGACCTTCGTGGTTCAAGTGAGCACCGAGCAGCTGCTGGTATCCCTACGGGAGGACGTGACAAGGAACCTTCTGGGGGACAAGGGGGCGGGGCCCAGGAAGATGGGGAGAGGCCCCGGGCACAGAGAGACAGCCCCAAACCCCACAGTCCTGGGCGGCAGCCCGAAAGCCCCAAGCCTGAACGAAGATCTGAGCCTGCCCGTGAACGGGGTAACAGTGTTGGAGAACGGGGGTCAGAGACCTGCGGACATCGACAAGACAGTGGCAGAGAATGGGGACCTGGGGGCCCCCGCGAGAGAAGAGAAAGTGCTGGCGAATGGGGGGCTGACACCCCCAAGGAAGGAGGAGGAGTTGCAGAATGGGGAGCTGAGGTCCCCAGAGGCCATGGAGAAAATTCTGGTGAATGGGGGACTGACATCCCCAAAGAGCGAGGAGAAGGTGGCAGAGCATGGGGGCCTGAGCCTCCCCAGGAAGGTGGACAGGCCACAAGAGACTGGGCCTTGGAGAGCCCTGGGGCTCTGGGAGAAGACAGCCGAGAGTGGGGCACCAGCCCCCACGATCGGGGAGCCAGCCCTAGAGACCCCACTGGAGACAGCCCCCGAGCCCGGTGCAGCCTTACCGGGGAACGACCAGGAGATGGCCCCTGGCCCCACTGGCCCAGCCCCCAGGAGCGGGGTGCCAGACCCCGGGACTCAGAGGAGAGCTCCCGAGACTGGGGGGGCACTGAGAGCCCTCGGGGTTGGGAGGCTGGACCCCGGGAGTGGGGGCCGAGCCCCGGAGGGCACGAGGACGGCCCCCGGCGGCGGCCCCGGAAGCGGCGTGGACGCAAAGGCCGCGTGGGCAGACAGCACGAGGCCACAGCCGCCACTGCCACCCCTGCCACCTCCGGAGGTCCAGCAGAGGAGGCCGGAGCCAGTGCCCCCGAAAGCCAGACCGGAGGTGGCCCCCGAGGGAGACTCCGGGGCCCCAGACAACAGGGTCGGCGGAGACATGGCACCCAGCGGAGACGGGGACCCCCTCAAGCCCGAGAGGAAGGGCCCCGAGATGCCACGACTGTTCTTGGACTTGGGACCCCCCCAGGGGAACAGCGAGCAGATCAAAGGTGAGGAGGTGACTGGTTTGAGGGGAGCAGAAGCCTGGGCTTTCCTAGAGGATAGATCTTGGAGACACCCCATCTGAGTTCAGATCCTGCCTTTGCACCTCCCTTAATCTGTGACCTCGGGCAAATGAATGCAACTTTTCTGTGCCTTGGTTTCCCTCCCCGTCTCCCAGAATGGTTGGCGCTGATGGCACTGTCTCCTAAGGTTGTTGTGAGGGTTCAATGTGTTAGCCTTTCCAAAGCCTGACACTTGCTCTGGTAAACAGCTGCTTTTCTTATTGCCATTTACTTAGGTCAAAGGTCTCAAACTCAGATGTCCCAGGGGCCAGGCAGTAGAGGAAGCTGAAAGAAGTGGGCTGGGGGAGGTGGGTGGAGGTGAGGGAGGAAATGCTTTACCTAGCTCCTTTTCAACTACTCTCGGAAATGTCGACCTGATAGAGAACACTAACTCAAAAGTTGGAAGTTCAAACTCACCCAGTAGTACTGCAAAATAAAGGCCTGGCCAAGTGGCAGCCGCAAAAACCCCATGGAGCAGTTCTACTCTGGAACACATGGGGGCGCCATGACCGAGAGTCGACTTAACGGCTATGGCATTGGAGTTTTGGTGTGGTTGGCAAATCTGCCTCTTTTCCCTTGTGATGATGTTGTTGTGAAGTGTTGTCAAGTCCATTCCAATTTATAGCAACCCTGTATAGGGTTTCAGAGGAGCGGCTGGTGGGTTTGAACCACCAACCTTGTGTTTAGCATCCTAGTGCTTATCCTATAGTGCCACACCAGGACTCCTCTTGTGATGGTTGTAACCAATTCAGAGAAAGGCCGGGCTTTCCAACAAGCTGAGCCCCATGGCCTCCCATGTGCCTGCCGAAGGCTGGGACCCCAGGGGTGTTCAGACCCTACTTTGCCCCTGGTACACACAACACTTTAAGAGAAGTGGAAGATGAAGATAAAAGTCCCTATTTAGATGTGGACATAAGAACTGTGGTTCTGTCAAAATACCGGTATGAAAGTTATGAATGATTCATATGAGCAGGAGGCAGTCGGAGCCAAGGGGATCAATAGTAATGACAGCTTCTATTGGTTGGGTGGGCTGCCTACTGTCAGGTACCCCACTGCCATACTAGAGGGAAGTGCTGCGTCTCTGTATTCCAGAGGAGCCGGTAGCTTAGTGGGTGGAAGTCAGGGAGCCCTGAGTGGGCTGGGCCCAGAACTTTCTTCCCTCAAAGGTCATGGTGTTGCACACTACCTACCACTTCCTTGAGGTTGTGTTGTTGTGGGAAGTTTGTGGCCAGCTTGGGGTGGAGGAGAGACGGATGGACAACCAGGCAACATTAAAATGTCAGGGAGAAGAGCAGCTAAGATGCCTCAGAGGATCTAGGTGAGGTCAGGGTTGTTGGGTGAGAATGGTTTTACTTTGTCCAACCAGTGAACTCATCCTTCAAAACCCCACCCAAATTCCCTCTTCCTCCGGAAATCATTCTGATTTCTAAAGGCTGACATCCTAATAGCTTCCCTATACAGTGCCCCATTCCACCCCCATGAGATGGGTGGTCAAAGAAGATGACTTTTGAGGAGACCTGAAGGAAGTGAGAGAAACAGTTTGAGTGGACATATGGAGGAAGAGGATTCCAGGCTGAGGGCTCTGAGATGGTCACTGGCTTAGCACATACAGAGAATAGCAGTGAAGTTAGTGCAAAGTGAACGATGGCGGAAGCGTGACCTGGCCCACACCCATCTCTCTCCATGCCCTGCCCCTTACCCTCCTCTCCTCTGCACCATTGCCCTCCCCCTCCCCCACAGGGCCCGGCACCCAGTTCACTTATGCACTAATGGAGGAATGAGTGGCCCCTGTCCATTTACCAGTGAGGAAGCAGAGGCTCAGAGAGGTGGATCCACTTGCCCAGGGACACACAGCAAGCAAGCAGGGTAGGCTTGGAATTCGAAGCCAGGTTTCCTCCCACAGGGACCTGAAATCCTCCTCCACCCCTACCCCACCCCATCAGACAGATCCAAAAATCCTAGGGCAGGAAAGGGACCTTTCCAGATGCCCCAAGTTTGGCAAATGAGGACCTTAGAAGGAAAGTGCCTTGTTGAATGTCACACAGCAGAGGACATCCATTTGCTAATCCTACAAATATTGAATGAGTGCTTCTATGTGCTTGGGGCTGCACCCTGAGTGAGCTGACTGGGTCTGTGTTCTGTGAGGGACAAACATTGATCGCATCTCCACAGAACTTCAGTTACACATGGAAGTAATCTGCTCAAAACAAGAGGTACTCTGTGCAATGGGGTCACAGAACAGGTGGCCGCACCTGATCTCTTAGGAAAACTCTGAAGGCAGGCATAACTTAGAAAAGGGTGGTCCAGGCCATTGGAACAGGCTCTAGAGGTGGGAGGAATGGGGAAGGACCCCAGATGGCCAGATGGATGTCAAATTAGAATGAAACGAAGAGATAGCTTGAAGATCTCAGCTGGGTCAGGGTACTCGAGCCCACTGGGAGAAATTAGGGCTTTATGGTGTGGGCACTGGGGAGCTATGTAGGGTTAAACACAAGTAGGGGAAAGATCTCTCCCACCCTGGATGGAGACAGGCCCAGTGCAGTCCTTCATCTCACACGGGGGAAACTGAGGCCTAGATTGTTCCGAGGGCTAACCTGAGGACACCCAGTTAGGTGGGAGGTCTTGCTTCAGTTTTCCCCAGGGCAAGGGCTCACCTGGTCTCTCCCCTCACAGCCAAGCTGTCCCGCCTCTCGCTGGCGCTGCCGCCCCTCACGCTCACCCCATTCCCGGGGCCCGGCCCACGGCGACCCTCGTGGGAGGTCGCGGACGCCGGGGCGGCTGGCGGGGAGGCCGGCGGGGCGGGGTCGCCGGGGCCGGCGGAGGAGGACGGGGAGGACGAGGACGAGGAGGAGGAGGACGAGGCGGCGGTGGACGCGGCGGGGCCGCTGGGCCCCGGGAGGGCGCGGGCAGCCCCGGTACCCGTCGTGGTGAGCAACGCCGACGCGGACGCGGCCCGCCCGCTGCGGGGGCTGCTCAAGTCGCCGCGCGGGGCCGACGAGCCCGAGGACAGCGAGCTGGAGAGGAAACGCAAGATGGTCTCCTTCCACGGGGACGTGACCGTCTACCTCTTCGACCAGGTAAACATCTAGCGGGCGCGGGTACCGTAAGAAGGTGGAGTCCGGCGTGGGGTGGGTCCTTGGAGGGGCGTGGTCTGGGGGAAGGCGGAGCTCAATATGGGGGGCGGGTCTAAAAGGACTCCAAGTTCTGGGTGGAGGAGGGGCCCGGGGAAGTGGGCGGGGCCTACTAGAGACAGGCTAAGGAAAGGGGCAGGACTTGGAGGAAGGGCAGGATCTAAGGACTAAAGAGTCCTGTAAGTTTAGGGCAAAGTCTGTTTTGTGGGCGGAGCCTAGACTAAAGGCGGTCCTTGGACAGGTCTTGGAAGGTGTGGATAGAACCTGTGCAGAGACCAGCTGGGGTAATGGATCCTGAGTTGGTGTGAGGTACCCTACTTGGGATGGGGCCAGAGGATGGGGTGAGGCCTGTGACCCTGGCAAGGAGTGGAGGGCAAGGAGAGACGCGGTCTGGAAACCTGTGGAAAAAACTTGATTAGGATTAGAACGTAGTTTGGATAGGGATGGAGTCTGGTGGAATTTGGGGAGGGATCTAGGATGTTGAACAGGCCCTCTGTTGTTAAGTGCCATCCAGTCAGCTCCAACCCATAGTGACCCTGTATAGGGTTTCCGAGGAGCGGCTGATGAGCTTGAACCACCGACCTTGCAGTTCAAACTGACTTGAAATCCAGAGCATTAATCCACAGTGCTACACCAGGCTCTAGGAGAGAGTTTTGGAACGGTGAAAGATGGAAACCCTATATAGGGTCACTGAAGTCAGAACGGACGCCGCAGCACTTAACAACAGGGATGGAGTTGCCGGAAATTTAAGCTGGATTCAGAAGAGATGTGGAACTAGGGATATCTTTGCTGACTTCAGATGGATCTTGGCTGAAAGCAGAGATTACCAGAAAGATATTTTACCTGTGCTTGGTTGACTAAACTAAGGCATTCTACTGTGTGAATTATAATAAGTTATGGATGACATTGCAAAGAATGGGAAATCCAAAAGACTTGTGCTCATAAGGAACTTGTACATAAACCAAGAGACAGTCATTGGAACAGAACAAGGGGATACCAAATGGTTTAAGATATGGTGTATCCTTTTACCATATTTATTCAATCTGTATGCTGAGCAAATAATCCAAGAAGCTGGGTTAGATGAAGATCATAGTATCAATGGCTACAGGATGTTAAGCGCCTTGAGTCAGTTTCTACTCATAGCAACCCAAAAGAGGGTTTTCAAGGCTTTAAATCTTTTGTGGGAGCAGAAAACCTCATCCTTCTCTTTCGGAGCAGCTGATGGGCTCAAACCAACACTTTGTGGTTCACAGTCTAGTGCTTATCCTATAAAGCCACTGCAGGACGGTAATAAAGAAAGAAGGAAGGAAGGAAGAGAGAGAAAAAGAAATAATCAAATGGCATGTTGCACTAGGGAAATCTGCTGCAAAAGACCTCTTCACTGTGTTAAAAACCAAAGATGTCATTTTGAGAACTAAGGTACACCTGACCCAAGCCATGGTATTTCCAATGATCTCATATGCATGTGCAAGTTGGACAATGAATAAGGAAGACCAGAGAAGAATTTGATGCATTGGAATTACGGTGTTGAAGAAGAATATTGAAAGTACCATGGACTACCAGAGTTACAGATGAGGAAAACTGAGGCAGGGAGCAGTGTGTGCCCGGTTAGCAGTACCCTGGATCATCAGG